ATATCAGCTATTTTTATTATATGAAAAAGTACAGGAATCATTATGGGCAGGTGATAACTTTTGAAAACATCATGCTGGGCCAGCACATGGCATGGTGGTTTGAGGGCTGGATCCCACATGGCCAACCACACAGTACGAATCCCAGACGAGGTGGATTGAAAACTACGCCAGGCACACGTGCGTGTAAGCCCAAGATCCTGAGAGGAGAATAGAGGAAAAGAGAAGGCAGCATGGCCATCCCCTGGGGTGTGCTTTCTCGCTTTCCTTCTCTCTCTCTCCCTCTCTCTCTCTCTCCCTCTCTCTTTCTCTCTCTCTCTCTCTTTCTTTCTCTCTCTCTCTCTTTCTTTCTCTCTCTCTCTCTCTTTCTCTCTCTCTCTCCAGCCAGTGCACATACCCTATCGCAAACAAAATAAAAAGAGGCATGCTGTCTGGGATCTCATTTCGTTTGCTGTGAAGATGTGTAGTGAATGAATGTAAATAAATAAATTTAAAGGAAAACAATGCTCCAGGAGGTTGGGGGACAGGCAAAAGATGGCACAATGCTAAAGCAATGCTCTGCGAGGCTCACCCACAGGGCAAGTTTCCAGGTTTGTGCCTGGAGACCTCCCTGAACACCCCAGGCACATGCCATGACGGGGCTGCTTGAGGCTGGGGTAGGCTGCAGTACAAGGGCATCGTTGGGGGTACCCCTTTCTATCGTTTCCTTTCTGTCTCTCTCACCAAGAAAAAAATAAACTAAAAAAAAAAAAAAATAGTAATAAGGAATAATACTCCAAGGGGGAAAATACTGGGGTGCATGGGGATAGATAAAATAAGAATGGCAACTGGCTCCCTGGCCTGGTGGTTAAGGCAACTGGATCCCACATGGCCAATCACACGGTTCGAGTCCCAGACCCTGCGACTTAAGAAACATACCAGGTACTTCTGTGTTCATGCCCAAATCCCAAAAAGGGAGAGGCAGAGCAAAGGGATTGTGGTGCGACCCCTCTTCATGATCGGGCTGCTTTCTCCTCTCCCTCTCTCTCAGTTTCTGGCAAGCACAGGGACTCTCTAGCAAACCTAACTAAATAACAATGCTCGAATATGCCAAAAAGCACTTAAGTGTTGAAATGACAGGTACATGACAGTGCACTGAATTATTCTCTCTACCTTGTGTTTCAAAATACCCATAACAAAAAGTAGCAAATAAAATAAACCCATTTTAACTACCACGTAGGTAGTGCAGTAGTTAAGGCACTGGACTCCCACGTGGCCGACCGTAAGTCCTGGGCCTACCGGCTTGCCTTCTCACTCCACCCCACCCCAGCCCCAACTCTCTCTAGTGAACACATGTGCCAGCAAATATATATATATACTTTTTTAAAATTTAAAAATTAAATAGTTTTTAAGAAAACATTATTAAATCATTTAAAAATGATTTTATTTATCATTATTATTACTTTTTAATTTGCTACAAGGCACACACAGTCACCAGAGAGAGACAAACAGAGAAAGAGAGGAATAGGGAGCAAGCAAGCCGCCAAGTCCAGGAATCAAACCACGGTCAGCCATGTGGGAGTCCAGTGCCTTAATCACCATGCCACCTGCTGGCCCCAAAAACCCATTTTTAAAAGTCTATCAAAATCCCATGTTAAGGTAAGTAGCTTAGCCCAGGTCTTCACATCAGCAAAGAAATGCAGAGTGAGGTTCAAAGGTCGGTTTTTATTGTCCTCCCAAGGTTTGATGTGCAGAGGTTTCATCACTACTCTGGCTACCCCCAGAAGGTAAACCACAACATGAGGGCAAAGGCCTCCTTAGGGACGTCGAACACACCGCTTCCATGTGCCTTCCTGGTAACTCCAGCGGCCTTTATCTCAGTGGCTAAAATAATCTGTTAAATATTCACGTGACAAAGGTGGCCAGGACTGCACCGGCCGTCAGCTCACCTGTTGGAAGTCTCCGGTGGAGACGCTGAGGATCAAAGTTGGGATCATCATGAAGCAGGCATTGTAGAAAAGCACTCCGTATTTCCCCAGCTCCTAAAAAAAAAAAAAAAAAAAAAAAAAAAAA